ACTCGGGTGTTGTTTTAACTGTGCAAAGCAGTTTGTGATATTTTTTTCCATCATAGGCTTGACATGTAATGGAGCATTTCATGGCCTGTAGTTATAGTTTATTTACAGCATTTGCAGTCTGTCTTTCTTTAAAAACAACGACAACACCTCAAGGCAGATCTCAGAGATGTTTAAAAGCAGTAGAGGGCAACAAAAGTAAAATATTTTTTAAAATAAATGAGATATTTGAAATATTGCGGACATACAGAAGGATTAATATTCTTTTCTGCCTGTCTGCTGCTAACTTTGCCCTTGGACAAAGGCTAGGCATTGGTGTAACTTTTCTGAATCTTGCTTGGATGCGTACAGACTGTATGTACAGCCTTGTAAGGTCTGGGACCAGCATAATTTAAGGACCGCCTACTTCCATACAAACCTACCTGACGACGCCAATCATTTTCTGGTGCTCTGCTTCGGGTGCCCCCACCCTCTGTGGTTTTGACAGGTGGCAACCAGAGAGAAGAGCGTTCTTGGTCATGGTACCAAGGTTGTGGGATTGGGCTGAAAGGTGGGGTATAAATCTTGTAAATAATTAAGAACATAAGAGAAGCCAATGTTGGATCAGGCCAGTGGCCCGTGTCACACAGTGACCAAAAATACAAGGTGCCATCAGGAGGTCCAGCAGTGGGGCCAGGACACTAGAAGCCCTCCCACTGTTGCCCCCCCCCCCAAGCACCAAGAAGACAGAGCATCCCTTGCCCCCCAGCCTTAGAGTTCCTATCTATACCTTGTGGCTAATAGCCACTGTTAGACCTCTGCTCCATCTGTTTATCCAATTCCCTCTTGAAGCCGCCCATGCTTGTAGCCGCCACAACCTCCTGTGGCGGTGAATTCCATGTGTTACATCAAATTACATCAAATAACATACGTGTTGCTTCTATTGAAAGTAGCTACATAGGGCACGTTCTCTATTTAAATGGAGAAGAAAGGGTATAATTTGTTAGCTCTCACTTGATCGTCCATAGGATGGTCATGTTCACATCTGTACACATGTGTGTACTCCTACATCAGAGTAAGGATATTTGCTTTTCCATTCTGTAAAGATTGTGTGAGATCTTATTTTGTGTATTTATAACACATGAAGTACTGCTGTAGATTAAACTGTCTAATGGAAAAAAACCTGAAGAGATTAAGGCAGTCATTAGTCATCTTCGAGTGTATAGTTTCATTAGGAAAGAACTGGAGTCCAGTAGCACCTTAAAGACTTAACAAAATTTGTGGCAGGGTAAGAGCTTTCGTGAGTCACCTCTCTCTTCCTCAGTTTTATGTCCTGGAGAACTTTGCTCCAATTCAATAAGCTACTCCAGTATTTCATGATGACACAGCTGTCTGCTTAGGTCTATATTGTGCATCTGGGAGTGCCAGGGGATGGATTCTTCAGTGAGAGAGCAGCGTTTGTCCACAGGGAGAAGAGGACCCTTCTGTTCTCTGAAGGGGAGGGGCTCTGCCATAAAGTGCAGGCTCTGAATGAAGAAGGTCCCATATTCTGTCATTCACATCTCTTGTCAAAACGGTCTTGTAGCATGACTGGGAAGGGCCTTTGAGGTCTGTTGCCTATCACAGGTGAGCCTGTGGTATGACTCTAGGCAAAGCAAGCTTTAAATGTAGAACAGCTGAATAAGATGTGTGAGGCTTTGTCTGACCTTTTCCAAAATACGGTGGTGGTAGTGAGTCAAGATACAGCTGCCATACGGCCATCCCTGTAGGGTTTTCAAGGCAAGAGATGAACAGAAGTGGTTCGCCGTTGCCTGCCCCTGCATAAAGACC